CCTTTCCCGGNTGCAGCACAAAGGCACCATGCAGCACACAGTACACCATGCAGCACACACTACACCATGCAGCACACAGGGCACCATGCAGCACAAGGGCACCATGCAGCTCAAGGGCACCATGCAGCACACGGCACCATGCAGCACACGAGGTACCATGCAGCCTACAGGGCACCATGCAGCACAAAGCCACCATGCAGCACACAGTACACCATGCAGCCCACACTACACCATGCAGCACACAGTACACCATGCAGCACAAGGGCACCATGCAGCTCAAGGGCACCATGCAGCACACGGCACCATGCAGCACACGAGGCACCATGCAGCACAAGGGCACCATGCAGCACATGGCACCATGCAGCACACGAGGTACCATGCAGCCTACAGGGCACCATGCAGCACAAGGGGCACCATTCAGCATACAAGGCTCAATGCAGCATACAAGGCACCATGCAGCCTAAACTACACAATTTAAATAAGAAATAGCATGTCCTTAAGAGGGAGTGTAATTCACGTTGCTGCTGTCCTCTTCCTGTAAAGCCTGCCATGATTTTTTTGCCCACTCCGATATATAATTTGATCAGATCAACTTCATGAACATGTGAAAAGACATAAATAAATGGGAGATGTCTTCTGTTCGTTCGGTTGGCCGTCGACCCGATGAGGATTACTTTAACGATCCGTTTCGTGCTTTTGGNGGGGGGGGGGGGGGGGGGGGGGGCAGCCCTCATTCTGTCTGTGGGTGCGCAGATGGCTGATGAGACCGATTCTTGCACGAACTTTCCCTTAACAATAGGCGCAAGTCATAGACGGTCCATCACCGGGTGCAGTAGTGACCCCGGGCGTTTCTTGATTGTCTTTTTGTGTTCTTCTATTGGCTCCGTGTTGCAATGAGCCACTGTCTACCAAGGAGCGCCGAGAAGCTTATAGATCCTCTGCAGATTTGCCCCCATGTGTCCGGGTTTATGGAGATCGCCTTCACGATGAGTCCACGGTGTCTTTGATTAGTTTCTTCCGACCACCAGCATCACGCCTGCCGCTCTCAAGTTCGCCATAAAACATTTCCAGCGACGGCGCTATCATCAGGAGGAAAGGAGAGTCGGGACCTGCGTGTTATCCAAGTCTGCGTGCGGTGCAGACTGCCGGACAGATCATCGCCTTATTAACCACCGACCTCAACTTTCGCATTCATCTCAAAGCATCGCAGCAAGGGAAGAAGTCTCATTACCCCCCCTCCCCCCCCCCCACTCCCGGGGTCCAACGTCTGAACAGCACAAAGTCGAATAGTTCAACGATCAAGAGAGGGCTTCTAACAAGCTTGTCCTTTATACGTTTCTCCTTCTAATGAGTCCAATAAGATGTTCTGTTTATGTGTCACTGGCGGCAGGATCTATCATGTGGAAATGAATATTTTCTTGACAACTTTCAAATTTTATATCTCTCTCTACCCTTCTCTCTCTGTCTCCCTCTCTCACTCTCTCTCTCTATCTCTCTCTTTCTCTCCCTATATATATATATATATATATATATATATCGCTCTATATTTCTCTCTCCATCTCTCTCCCACTTTCTCAACCAATCTATATCACTCCCTCTTCCCTCCCTCTCTCCCTCTCACTATCTTTCTCTTCCCCCTCTCTCCCACTCTCTCTCCCTCTCTCACTCTCTCTCACTCTTTCTTTCTCTATTCCACTCTCTATCTCTATATCTCTCCCGCTTCCCCCTAATCTCTCTCTCTCTCTCTTTCTCTCACTCTTTGTCTCTGTCTCGCTCCCTTTCTCTCTCTCTTTCTCTCTCTCTCTCTCTCGTTCCCTCTCTCGTTCCCTCTCTCGCTCTCTCTCTATCAATCTCTCTCTACCTCTCTATCTATCTCTATATTTCTCTCTACCTTCCTCATCCTCACTCTCTCCCTTCTCTTTCTACCTCTGCCTCTCTCTCCTCCCCCACTCTGTAAAAAGGGTTAAGGCTCACTGGTTTAATTGTTGGTTGCGCACCAAGGGGCTCGCTAAGAACGCACTTTGCACCTTGGAAGAACGAATAGGAAGTCAAGCAGAATGAGAACCCATCAAGATTTACTTCGTTAACAAACATTTATTATACATGAAAGATTTCTGTGGTCTGTTGATTTGTTGTTTCTGTTTGCAACTATTTTATTTAATATTATAGTTAATACAATACAATTTTCTTGGATTAAGGCACGAATTACCAATTGAGACTCCTGAAAAGACTTTTAGTTTTCCCACATACATAGTTAACACAATGGTGTTGAGTATTTTCTAAAAAAAAAAAAAAAAATTAAAATCCCAGCTAGTTGACAATTTTGTTCACTTCGTAGATATCAAGTCTGAGTTAGGAATGAAAGCCCGTCAATCATGACTGAAGGTTGTTGGAAGGGTTGAAAATGCAAAAAAGTAGTTAAGTTTTTAGCTTCCCCCACCCATATTTTTTTTTCCTTATCTATCACACTGAAAGTTTACATAGGTCTTAGCTCATAAAAGTAAAGTTATCACAGGTCGCGTGCACAGGAAGGGAAAGGTTTGCCGATTTCTTTAATTTTTAAGAAAACAACTATCGCAAATCTAAATGTTACACCATCATACCAGGAGACAGTTGCGTGTTTTAATGACACCCCCACTCCACCCTTTTCTCCCCCTACCCCCACCCCATTAACTTAAAGACGAGATCTAAAAGGAGAAGTGGGCGGACCATCAAGTTCTAATGTGTCACATGATTATTTGCCCAAAGCTGACGGCAACAATCGATTTTCTGATTTCATACCCAGACCCCAGGCTGTGTCGCCAAATTTACTGTCTGCTTCCTAGACTAGAGCCTAAATCATCAAGATAACATTCGCAAGTCTGGGACCATATTCAAAACTATTTCAGTCTTAAGTCATATGTCTGGGACATCATGGGCGCCCGCAGGGGGGAGGTCAAGGGGGCACTCCCCCCCCCCCCCCCCCCG